CAACCTGTAACGCTGCATCAGGGTTTTGTGGCCGAAGTGCAGGATCCAGCACTTGTTCTTGTTGAACCTCATGCTGTTGGTCTCAGCCCATTGATCCAGCCTGTCCAGATGCCTCTGCAGACCCTCTCTACCCTCCAGCAGATCAACACTCACACTCAACTTGAAGTCATCTGCAAATTTACTGAGGGTGCCCTCAATCCCCTCATCTAGATCATCTATAAAGATGTTGAACAGCACCGGCCCCAAAACTGAGCCCTGGGGAACACCACTAGTAATTGGCTGCCAACTGGATTTAGCTCTGTTGACCACAGCTGTCTGGGCCCAGCCATCCAGCCAGTTTTTTACCCATTGAAGAGTCCACCTATCTAAGCTGCAAGCAGCCAATTTATTTAGGAGGATGAGTTACTACTATCTTACTTTGTAGAACTGGCATTTCAGATCATCCTCATCCTTCTCCGCAGAAAACAGTCCTCTCACCCTGGTTACACATTCCAAGATGCTGTATTTATACTATTTACCCCTCCACTCTACCCTGCCAAATCTGGCCACAATGCACCATGGAGGTGTCTGGATGGAGAGTACAGTACACAAAGTACTTCAGTGTCATTGGTTCCGGATCATATGGCATTTTTAGCTTCCCATCACTTTACAGCTCAAATACTGGCATATTACACAATTTCCATGTAAAAAACTTTTATATATGTTAAAATTACTCTCTTTCAGTGTACCGTTTCTTGTGGAGGGGGCATTCAGCAAAGAACTGTGAAGTGCATGAATATAGAAACTAATGAGACTGAAGATGACAGTATGTGTGTGGATAAACCCAAGCCCACAGAGTATCAGAAATGCAATCTGCAAGAGTGCAGGAAAAGTACAGGTATGATAATACCCCTGCATCAGACAGTTTCCAAAAGCTTTCCATTTGTGCTGAGATTCTGCAAAAATTGGGAGTTGACCCAATTTATCAACTTGTTGTGAATACTATGGGCTCAGTAATTATAGGTCAGCCTAACCTGCTACTGCTCAGCTGCACTATTGGCAGAATCATATTGTCATGTTCTCCAGCCTGCTGGCCTTGTGTTGCCGTCATGGGGAATGCAGTTCGCTGAGCATGCATCCCTAATTTATGATGCCACAACTAAATGAATAGTTCTACTTGCGTTGACCTGTTTTAGGTAACTCACAGGCTGCTTTGAGGGCTGTGGAAGGTCATGCTGTGAGTCCAAACAGATATTTTGGCCATTGCCATTTCTTAAGATAGATACCCCTATGGGAACTGCAAATTCTGGACTGGGAGTGCAAGCGAGACAAACACTGTAAGAAAAATCTAACTGGTGGTGAACCCAGATACAGTCTTGGCACTATGAATTCAGTGTCCTACAGGGTGAGACTGTCTCCAAAATGGAGAGGTGGAGAGAAGTCCTCTTGTGCCTCAGGGTGTTCTGTACCTCTGTCATTCAAGGGCCCAGGAGCCCAGTTGTGTAGATGGTTAATAGCCCAGAAAAGAAGTGCAGGAGGGGGAAGAAGCTTACAGAAGGGTATCTTTATCTGTAGTCTGTGTGCTGCTGTATCCAGCAGGTGCACTCAAGTAAGAACAGCAGCAGCTCAGAGTCCTTCTGGAAGAGCTTTTAAAGGCCTTTTAGAGGAAGATTCTTCCCTCTTAGGAAGTCAGCAATAAGGGTCCACTCTGGCAATGAGACAAGAGGTTGACTCCTGAGGGCAGTGCAGATCTGGCATACACTTGAAAGTGATGCTTCACTCCTGCTGCTCAAAGGTCTTTAGCACATCTTTTGCCCTAGGGTTGAATTGGTCTGCTTATCTCCTGTCCCTCATGTTCAAAAGACACTCAGATAAATACGACCTACACAGATTAGTCATAGTTCTTTCTGTGAATAAACTGGCTCAAGGGGCCACTGAAACCTAAGAAATGCCCTACTGAGTAGACCAGTGGTCCGTGCAGCCCAATACTGTGCCTCCAACAATGGCATTAGAAAATGCTACTTAGGGAGAATACAGTATTTTAGTCTTTTCCTGTGATTCATTTCCATGCTGTTCCTCCAGCATTTCCAACTGACATATTAGGACTATTAAAGGCACCTCTTTTAGTGCCTTTTAGTTTAAATTTATGGAATTTTTTCCATTAATATATTGCATCCCTTTTTGACCCTGCAATGCTGTCTGCTGCCACCTTCTTCTGTGGCAGCAAGTTCCAGATGTTCACAGCCTGCTGTGAAAAGAAGTGCTTTTATCTGTTTAAACTACCTTTATACTAGTTTCATTGAGTTTCCCTAGTTCTAGTGTTGAGAGATTTGCCAAACAACAGCCTTGCATTCAGCTAATCCACCACTTTCCTGCTTTTGCAAACCTTGACGCTCCCCCTAGCCATCTCTTCTCACAGCTCAGGATCCCCATTTTGTAATATCTAAGTAAATCTGACACATCTCAGTTTATTAAAGCTACCACAGACCTATCAGGACCATAATACGTACATTAGCAGTCCCTGGCTTATTCTGGTGCTGTAGAAATTGAAGTGTAGTCAAGCTGAACATGTAGTTGCACATTCCTTGTCTATGCTCTTCTGCCTGCCCTGCATGGCTCTGCAGCACACTGCCAGCCCGTGGCACTTGTCTTAAATGCAGTATTATAAGAACGCAAAACTATCAGACTCACAAATCATTGTTGGTAGACCTTCTATGAGTTCTTAAAAGCAGAGACATTAAAGTGAAAAACATAGATCAGGTATGTCTGCTGCAAAAGTAAAGCCTCACTGAGCAGTAATAAAAGAGTGCTGTATTTTCCAAGACAGAAGGTTGTGTGAAGTTTAATAGGACCTGTTCACTTAAAAGTCCTAAAATTTCAGGTGGATCAAGCTGACCTGTAATACAGAGGAAGAGAAAACCACCATAAATGAGAGCCTCCACAGGCATGACTGTCTGGAATAAAGCAGTTTAAAATTCTAGAATTACAGATAATTTGTCAGCAAAATACAGCTAATTCTTCTCATCTTCTCCACCATAGGGGTACCCTGCAGCAAAGACCAACTGTCGGTTCACTTCTGCCAGAGACTGAAAGGCATCGGCAAGTGCTTGCTGCCGTCAATACAGATTCAGTGCTGCTTCACGTGTAGTCAGCCCCGAATTCGTAACAAAGCAAGATACTGGGATCAGCGAGGCCTCAAACAACAAAATTACACTAAATCTAGAAGAAAATCACCTCAAAACCAAGAAAACAACAACCAAGCTGCTCGGCCCTAGCTGTTTTTTATCTAGTTGCTTTGAGTAGGGCTGCTGTTTACAGGTTTTACGTTCCTTCTTTTTTTTCTGAACCATCCAACATAAATGGAAATCTGTGATCAAAACTGGGAAAACACATCCCTTGGGGTTATCAGTCCTAATTTACTGCTTCAAATTTTTCTCTGTAATAGTCCAAAATTTGTAGCATAATTTGCAATGTACCAGCAGCTAGTACTTGTTAGGCATGCATAGAGGCTAGAAACAAGCTTGCAAGAATTTTTAAAATTTTTTTAAATTAATGTTTTACATGTTCTTTCTTCCACCTCTTTTCCAAAACCCGCTTGGAATAGCAGCACCACTTACCCAAGAGTGCTGAGTGAAGGCAGCTGACAGGGCAGCAGACACAGACCTGCACTGTGGGCCACAACTCTCTGTGCTTACTCACTTTTCTGTTTTTAGGAATCAAGGTGAAGTGGCAGTGTTTCTCTAAATTGTTTGCTCACTTCATAAATTTAAAAGCAGAGTTTTATAATAACTGATTATGATATGCAGGCCAAATTGAAACATTGGGTTTTTCAAAAGAAAAAATGTTCATTTAGTACTTGACTGAACCTCTAAAGGATACCTCAGCAATAGCCTGTCCTGGTCATTTTCTTCTGCTACAGATGTCTTGGTGTAACCTGAAAACCCCACCAAATATGGGATGTTAAGTTCCCAAATACGTTTTAAGCAACATTTCTTGGTACTATGAAAGCAAAACTATTTGCATCTACCACCTGAATAGATAGATTGTAATTCACACCAATATTCAGTGATCGAGCTATCATTTAATCCAGTATCTCCTAGTAGAGTGTAAGCCCACATCCACAAGAGTACTCTTATCGCCTCACTCACAGCAAACTTTTCCCCCAGTGCAAATCCTTGATCATAGTGAGGGTAAGGGCACCTGGAACAGGAGCCTGAGACCCAGAGTATCTGCATAGCTCTGGGCTTCAGGCATTAGGAGAGCACTAGCCAAATATCATATCTGTTTTGCTGTTGAAGAAAATGGCAGAACAAACTTTAAGGAGACCAGATTGGACCCTTTGAAGCAAAGCTGGTCATTTCCAAAAGAGCTGGCAGAGTCTGACATTGAGATTCCTTTGAAATTTGATAGGATCTGGACACCTTGATTCTTCATGCTCTTTTGAAAAATCTCAGATTTACTCCCTAGCTACCTGACAATTTGAGATTGTAATACAGGGAAATGTCATATTTTATGCAGTGTAGAGTGAGACACATAGCCACAAATCCAAGTGTCACTATGGTTACAGAGCTATGGCTAGCAATAGCCCTATTTCTAGACAGACCTTTATGAAAGTTAATAGAAATACTTGTGCCTGGCTGTAATGTATTAGCCTAATGATGGCCACAAGTCTAATTGTCCTTTTCATAGATTTGTGACTTTTGGCTAAGGGCTCACTTCTTTGATTGAAGTCTCTGGGAGTTCAGGATATGCAGGATGGTAAGGTTAGATTTATTAACTTCTGTGATGGCAATATAACTGCAGTTATAGGTGCTTATAAAACTTAAAATCCACTGTTAAAAATATGGTGCTAGCATAAGAGATGTAGGGGATGACTTGCAATGGTGCATGTGCACGCATGTGCGTACACAGCATATATGCACATACTCTTAAAATAATACATGGTATTGCTGGCCAATGCCAGACATAATGCTTTTTAAGTTTCACAGTGTGCTTATGTCTTTCTGAGGTCCTGAATGGCTACTGACCCTTTGAGCAATGGAAGACTGGACAGTTCTTATTCCACTAGACACAGAAATGTTGAATCATGTGAAGGAGCAGAGGTGTCCCATCTGATTCAGGAAGCATTTGGGTAGGGCTTGGCCTCAGGCTGCATTGTGTAGAGCAGAGCCTGTACAGCTAAGCCCAAGGCAGTTCTCTGATGGCCAGACAACTTAGACTGGTGGACAGTGCAGATGCTTCTGATGTTCCCAGAAGCATATTCTAGGATTTGGACAGGACAAAGTTAGATTCACTTCAGAGTCAGACTCCTGTGCTCAGAGGTACTTGCAACGTTTTATTCAAGGAGGTCTGCAGCAGAAGTAGGCCATCAGGTATGTGGGCTACTGAGGAAGGAGCTGGATGAGTGGATATAGTGCAGATGGGAGGAAAAGTGCCTGGGAGAGTTGTCTCTTCCAGTGCTCCTTATGGCTAGTATGGAGTAAAACCATTTCTGCCTTCATTGTTTTCTTCAGGGAGCTGTAATTTCATTTCAAATGGATAAAAGTGAATAAATTATATTATAGACATTGATCAAAATAATCTTTCTACCCAGGGAAGTACAGTCATCACTGTTGCTCAGCTTAAAACTTTAGGGGGAAGGCTGTGACAACAGCATGAACTGTTTTAATAGAACAGTGCTGCTGCTGTATTTTACATAGGTTCTTACATCACACTTATCAGTGTAATATCTCCTCTATGCTAATATATGTGCAGCCATCTCTCCCATCCATTTAGCAAGATTCCTTTCTTATAACTATTTTTAAGTAAAGGTGGATTTATGATCCTAATCCAGATGGTCACTATTCTCAAAACTGAATAGAGTATTAAGTGCAGAGGCATAATATCATTATATTATCATATGAGCCTGAGACACGTCAGCTTCAACATGTTGCTCAGGAAAAAAATGTGTATTCGGCACATTCACTTCTTCTTCTAACATTTCAAGGATTAAAAAGCAAATTATGATAACATATTTGTTTCAAGCTTCAATAAATGGCATTGCTTATATCTGATGTCTGTGGTATTTTATGTGTCCAGTGCAAGAAGTTTCGTAAGATGGAATTCCAAGGAAAAAAAGGCTTAGAAAGTATATTTTCTGTTCCAGGGGAATCCTCATCATTGAGGTATTTTGATGCTTGATATTCCAACATAAAAGAGACCATAAAAAAGGGTGAGGTAAAAAGTAGGGAATAAAGCGTGGTGCTAAGTAAAAATATACATTAAGAGGCTTAGTTATTTCTTATGAAATAGATGACATCTTACCACTTCTAGTCCAAGCAGATGTGTCTTAGCTGCTTACCAGCAGATGCATGCATGACTGCTGTGTCTATTGGGGGATGTATTTGTTTTCCTGAAGAGTTGTATACAATATGATCATGCCCACTCCCGATCCTCCTTACGCTCCCCAGAATCTTTTCAGTACTCAAGTTTTGCCAGTACCACTGATGCTGATGCCCAGAAACTTAATCATACTAACCCTGTTCCTTGACATGCAGCCCAGGAGCACAGGCATCGCAGTTGGGCATATATGCTTGGGCAGAGAGCAGCATGAGTTTGCACTCAGGTCCCAGCTCCACCCACGCATCCACCCGTGGGTTCAGCCTCATAGCACCCTGTGGAAGTTGCAGGAAAGTGCCTTCTTACTTCACAAAGGAACTGTGGATCTCCAGCCCACAGGGACAGCGTTCTGGACAGGTGCTCTAAGGGAGAGGAATGAATTTAATTAAGAACTGAGTTGAAGCTCCCTCCACTTTGCAAAGGAGTAATTAGGCATTCACTGGATGACCTGCTGCACAACACACAGCCTGATGAGCACTTTCTGCTATCTGCTGCGCTGTGTGCCATGTCTTGTTGCACTTCGTTGGCCTAGCCAAGCACGCAGCACCCACCAAAGGAACTGCCATTTGGCTGCCTAGCATCAGCTCAAAATGAAATCGGCATGCAGGGAAAACATTGTGCTTGTGGCTCTGGTGATTCCCTCCATGATTGTAGTAGAAATAGGGTCCCTAGAGTGTGGGTGGATTTGAGCAATCAGTTGTCCATTTGCCCCCATGACTTCTGTAGAAAGGCATTAGTCAGTCAGTGGCTGTCCCAGTTTTATGGAAATACATCAGAAGTGCTTGACACTACCCATGCTTAAGCAGAATTAATTTTACGTAATGCAGATGTAGGCATCCAGGGATACAGGGAGAAGTTATCTACTACGTAAGTAATCACTGACTGATAGTCTGCTAATTGTTATATATGGAACTTCCATCTGTCCATTCTACAAGTTGTTTTAGGGCACTTTGAGATCAAAGATACTGCTCAGGAAGACCCTAAATGTCACACATAGTGACAGCAAACTCTGTCTCAAGTATGCCTTAGTCAGGTACCATCTTGCAAATCACTGACAGGGGGATGTTGGGTTTCTTCTTTCTCTAAACCTTTCTAAGGCTGCTGGATGCAAAGGTGAGTGTGGTTTGTGGCACCTCGTGATGGCAGCCCTGCTGTGAACCAGCTCTGGGTAAGCCAAAGGCCAGATGAGTGTCCTCATCGTTGACCTGGAATAAATTATTTCTTCAGTTGGGTTTCACATAGGGTCTGATCCTGTGCTCTGCAATCCTAGCAGGCTAGGCAGTGAAGTGTGTATAGATGTACCTAAATGTGAAAGCAGCTACTTTATGGTATCAAGGCACAATCAGAACTAGACTTTTTCAGCAGATTTCTAGGTGTGTAGGCTTATCTACCAGCAGGACCACACTTGCATGATGATGGGATGAGAGTAGGGATTTGAGGAGCCGCGTTCCAGATGGAGACACTTAATGCAGCAGCACTGATAGACTAATTTGGTGGATACAGAAACACAGTACATTGGTGACTTAAGAGGGAGAAATTTCAGAAAAGTGACTGACTTTACTCCTCCAGCCCATCTGATGAGATGTTGAGCCCAGCTGGTCTTGGCTTCACAGCCATGTAAAATTAAAGTTACTGCATCTGAGCTGAGGGGAGGCCATGACGATCCTCAGGCTCCAGCACGAAGCAGGAATTTGCTTACAACAGACGTCCCTCTTGTTAGCAAGTGTTCCCTGCATGTCACCTGGAAGCTGACAGTTCCCTGTTGCTCCTGGGTCACTTCATTTCTATTCATGCCTCTCTTCCAAGTGTGTGTTTAGGCAAGGAGGCAGAGGGGATGTTGCAGCAGCCAGATTCTGCTGGAGTTAATGGAAGAAGAAATGAGTCTTGGTAATTATTGTAGTTACGTGTTCAGCTAACTTGATTTTGGCTGAAGCTGCCTGCTGGCTCCTGTTGCCCACCCACAAGGGACACATGATCTGATGGACAAGGGTACCCTCGTTTAATCAAGGACCCTGCTGGGAGCAGG